GAAAGATTTCACCAGAATTGATTTTTGGGTACGTTTCAGTCAGGCATGAAATGTTCAGTGTTAAAATATTAAGCTTAAATCTCACGGAAAGAAAATCACAACTCTACCGGTAAAATAAATAAAGACTCGAAAACGGCGTGAGATGAACTCACGCCATCACTAACAAACCGAGAGGGGCAAAGCGGTAAGGTCACGAAAACTGTTCTAAATGACACATGAACATAAAGATGAAGTTTAGAAAAAAACGAAAACCACGCAATGTGATTTCCAGTCAAGCGTGATAGTATAAACTTTAATTTCCGCGTTGAAGTTTGAARTGTAAACGACATTAACCTAGCCCAGTTTATATTCCTCACCATTCTGCCCTGCAATCATAGCCCTTCTTCGAACCTGCAAGATTGCCAGGAATACAAGAAGCACAGTTCGTACAGTTCTCTAGCGAATGGATCGCTCCTGGTTTGTGGCAATGATCACCGCATTTGTCGCAAAATCCACAATTTCCATCACTCAAACACCAAGTGCAATTTCGTCCTCGAGATAAACAATCTTCGTCGTCGACTTCAGCAACGGAAGAGCAGAGCTTTGACGAAATTAAAATCCCTACAATAATACACAAACTATTTAAAATCCCATTTGAAGGCATTATGACTAAACTTTTACGGAAATTTTCCTTAAATTTATCTTCAAGCAGGTGAAATGCGAAAAACAGGAATTCCTCGTTTCGATAACGCGCAGCCACGCATGTCCCGCAATTGTAAATGACGTTATTTATAAGACGTGATTGGTCGGAACGTTCCCGCCAAAAATAGTGGCTTTCCCGGAGAAGGAATTTCCCTTATAAAACAAAAAGTTTATTTTAATTTTGTGTGAATGAAACGTTCAGGCTTTGAAACTACGGCTACAGTTAAAATAATACGACTTTACATTTGACTTTCATTGTATGCATTATTTATTAGCTGAATTGAAAACAAACCACAGGAATAGTTCGCCACCGGTGACCCACTGTGTTTGCGAGCATTTCACTCGAAATTAATCCCTTATAATTCAGCTTGTCTAGCTGGCCTAAGAGTGCGTAAAAATAAAATAATAAAGAAAATAAATTAAATAAAAGGCTGAATGAGCATTCTAAGAATTTGAAATAGAAGACAATGTAGTTTAAAAAATCCTTTTACGCAACCTTGTCTATTTAAATTAATCATTTTTAAATGGAAAAAAAAATTGGAGTTTGGCTTACATTCATAGGCAATTCTGGGCTGGATAAATTTAAAAAAAAAAAAGAAAAGAAAAAACAATATCTAGGTAGGAAGCCACACCAGCCTTCGTTGTTTTTCATGCGGGTGCTCTATCCTGGTCGAATTGGAATTTGGAGACGATGGTTTTTGTGGAAGGAGGAAAGCCGGAGAACTCGCAGAAAAACCCTCGGAGCAAGGCGAAAACCAACAACAAACTACGAAATTACACTTATTGACCTCAGAGATCTAGCCTGCGAACGCAATGATCAGAATCAATGTCAAAGAGTGGTCAGCGGTTTCCCCTCTAACATTGCCAGGACAAAACAATCACCATATATCAAGGATTTACTTCTTTGTCTTCCCGAAACAAGATGGCGGAACTAAGCGCTTATCGGGATCAGCATTTTAAGGTAATAATCTTGTTTCCTTTACC